TCTCTACAGCTCTCATAACTTCCAAAATCTATTTTCTTCCTCATACCTGACACATATACTTTCTGCTCCCCGGCTCCTTCAGTTATTCTCTTTGTGGAGTCTCCCACAATTACCATTGTTCCTGGCCTGGACTTCAGTCCAGCCTCCCACACTGTTCCTGATACCACACCTGACCCCCATGACTATATCTCTATGATACACCTGACATTCACCCCATTTCCCCATATTTCCTACTTTCCTGTTCCTCACCCTGATCACACTTGGTTTATTGATGGCAGTTCCACCAGGCTTAATCGCCACACACCAGCAAAGGCAGGCTATGCTATAGTATTTTCCACATCAATCATTGAAGTTACTGCTCTGCCGTCCTCCACTACCTCTCAGCAAGCCAAACTCATTGGCTTAATTTGGGCCCCCATTCTTGTAAAAGGACTACGTGTCAATATTTATACTGACCCCATATCCTGCACCACCATGCTGTTTTATGGGCTGAAAAGTTTCCTCGCTATGCAAGGGTCCTCTGTCATTAATTCCTCTTTAATCAAAACTCTTCTCCAGGCCACTTTACTTCCAAAGGAAGCTGGAGTAACACAATGCAAGGGCCATCAAAAGGCATCAGATCCCATCACTCAGGGAAGGCATCAGATCCCATAGCTCAGGGCAACACTTATGCTGATAAGGTAGCTAAAAAAGCAGCTAGCATTCCAACTTCTATCCCTCACGGAAGTTTTTCTCCTTCTCATCTGCTCACTCCCACCTACTCCCCCACTGAAACATCCGCCTATCAATCTCTTCCCACACAAGGCAAATGGTTCTTGGACCAAGGAAAATATCTCCTTCCAGCCTCACAGGCCCATTCTATTCTATCGTCATTTCATAACCTCTTCCATGTAGGTTACAAGCCGTTAGCCGGCCTCTTAGAGCCTCTCATTTCTTTTCCATCGTGGAAATCTATCCTCAAGGAAATCACTTCTCAGTGTTCCATCTGCTATTCTACTACTCCTTAGGGATTATTCAGGCCCCCTCCCTTCCTTACACATCAAGCTCAGGGATTTGCCCCTGCCCAGGACTGGCAAATTGACTTTACTCACATGCCTCGAGTCAGGAAACTAAAATACCTTTTGGTCTGGGTAGACACTTTCACTGGATGGGTAGAGGCCATCTGAGAAGGGTGGTCTGAAAAGGCCACCACAGTCATTTCTTCCCTTTTTGTCAGACATAATTCCTTGGTTTAGCCTTCCCACCTCTATACAGTCCAATAACGGACCAGCTTTATTAGTCAAATCACCCAAGCAGTTCCTCAGGCTCTTGGTATTTAGTGGCTCCTGTTTTTACCTTAAATCACCACCTTTAAGTCTCTCTTAAAGTGGGTAGAAGATCTTCAGTGCAAGGTACCCTCCAATACTTTCACCCTGATGAAGTTCTATTCTTTACTTTTATACTTACTCTTATTCTCGTTCCCATTCTTATGCCACCCTCTACCTCTCCCCAGCCATCTCCACCACACTATCAGTCTCAGTCACTCTCTCCTAGCCGTTTCTAATCCTTCTCTAACAAACAATGGCTAGCTTTCCATTTCTCTTTCCTCCAAAATCATCAAGGCCTCAACTTACTGCTAAAAAAAGAGGACTCTGTATGTTTTTAAATACAGAGTGTTGTTTTTACCTAAATCAGTCTGACCTGTTATAAGACAACATAAAAAAACTCAAGGATAGAGCCCAAAAAAAGCTCCAACCAAGCAAACAATAATGTTGAACCCCCTTGGACACTCTCTAATTGGATGTCCTGGGTACTCCCAATTCTTAGTCCTTTAATACCTTTTTTTTTTTTTTTCCTTCTCTTATTCGGATCTTGTGTCTTTCGTTTAGTTTCTCAATTCATACTGAGAGGTGACAACATGCTAGCAGCCCTCGCTTTCGGTGCCTCCTTGGCCTCAGCGTCCACTCTGCCAGTGTTTGGGGAGTCCTTCAGCCTGCCACAGCACTCTGGGAGCCCCTCTCTGGGCTGGTCGAGGCCAGAGCCAGCTCCCTCTGGAACTGGGGCTGTGCACAGTGCTCACGGGCCAGCACAAGTTCCGGGTGGGTGTGGGCTCCGTGGGCCCTGCACTTGGAGCGCTGGCTGGTGCCACTGGCCCCGGGCAGTGAGGGGCTTAGCACCTGGGCCAGCAGCTGCAGAGAGTGTACTAGGTCCCCCAGCAGTGCCAGCCTGCTGGCACTGTGCTCGAATTCTCACCGGGCCTCAGCTGCCTCCCTGCAAGGCAGGGTTCAGGACCTGCAGCCCACCATGCCCGAGCCTTCCCACCTCTGCTGTGGGCTCCCGCGCAGCCAGAGCCTCCCCGATTGGCATGCCCCTGCTCCATGGCGCCCAGTCCCATCCACCGCCCAAAGGCTGAGGAGTGCAGGCACGGCAAGGGACTGGTGGGCAGCTCCGCCGGCGGACCTGGCCTGGGATCCACTAGGTGATGCCAGCTGGGCTCCTGAGTCCAGTGGGGACTTGGAGAACCTTTATGTCTAGCTAAGTGATGGTAAACGCAGCAATCAGCACTCTGTATCTAACTTAGGGTTTGTAAATACACCAATCAGTACTCTGTGTCTAGCTCAAGGTTTGTAAATACACTAATGGGTACTCTGTATCTAGCTAACCTAGTGGGGACTTGGAGAACTTTTCTGTCTAGCACTCTGTGTCTAGCTAAAGGATTGTAAACACATCAGTCAGCACTCTGTCCAAACGGACCAATCAGCTCTCTGTAAAATGGACCAATCAGCTCTCTGTAAAATAGACCAATCAGCCCTCTGTAAAATGGACCAATCAGTAGGATGTGGGTGGGGTCAGATAAGGGAATAAAAGCAGGCTCCTTGAGCCAGCCAGCTGTCCTCTTCCACACTGTGGAAGCTTTGTTCTTTTTTTGCTCTTTGCAATAAATCTGGCTGCTGCTCATTCTTTGGGTCCACGCCGCCTTTATAAGCTGTCACACTCGCTGCAAAGGTCTGCAGCTTCACTCCTGAGGCCAGCCAGACCACGAACCCACCAGAAGGAATGAACAACTCCCGACAAGAGGAACAACCACCACCAGATGCGCCGCCTGAAGAGCTGTAACGCTTACCACGAAGGTCTGCAGTTTCACTCCTGAAGCCAGCAAGACCAGAAACCCACCAGAAGGAAGAAACTCCAAACATGTCCGAACATCAGAAGGAACAAACTCCAGACACACCATCTTTAAGAACTGTAACACTCACCAGGAGGGGTCTGCGGCTTCATTCTTGAAGTCAGTGAGAGACCAAGAACCACCAATTCCGGACACAATACAAAACCACATCCAGGCCATCACCAAAAATTCTGTACGACAAATGCTCCTTCTAACAACCCCATGATATCACCCCTTACCCCAAAATCTTCCTTCAGCTTAATCTCTCCCACTCTAGGTTCCCACATCGCCCCTAATCCCACTTGAGGCAGCCCTGAGAAATATTACCCATTATCTCTCCATACCACCCCCCAAAATTTTCACCACCCCAACCCTTAACCACTGTTTTGTTTCATTTTTCTTATTAATATAAGAAGACAGGAATGCCAGGCCTCTGAGTCCAAGCTAAGCCATCATATGCCCAGTGACCTGCACGGATACATCCAGATGGCCTGAAGCAACTGAAGATTCACAAAAGAAGTGAAAATAACCTTAACTGATGACATTCCACCATTGTGATTTGTTTCTGCCCCACCCTAACTGATCAATGTACTTTGCAATCTCCCTTACCCTTAAGTTCTTTATAATCTCCCCCATGCTTAAGAAGGTTCTTTGTAATTCTCCCCACCCTTGAGAATGGACTTTGTGATATCCACCCCCTGTCCCTGAAACTTTGCTCTTAACTCCACCGCCTATCCCAAAACCTATAAGAACTCATGATAATCCCACCACCCTTGCTGACACTCTTTTCGGACTCCGCCCACCTGCATCCAGGTGAAATAAACACCCTTGTTGCTCACACAAAGCCTGTTTGGTGTTATCTGCACATGGACACATGAGACACCAGTCTCATACGCCCCAGTCCTTTGCAATGTTTAGGGTTCACACAAGAAGCCACTAAAATGCAAATATGTCATCTGTGACCAGGAACCAAGTTGGCATCTGGCAGACACTGACACATTTATCAGTCTGATGTGCAGACAACCAGGTGCCTCCCAGAGGCCTTCAGGTAAGGTGCAGGAAGTACCAATTCTGAGCTGACACAGTGGGATCTATCTTGGCCAGCGGTCGGGACTCTGGGGACAACCAGCTCCTACACAGCCCATCAGGCTGCAGGCACCAGCCATGACAAAGGCGGTCCACGGAGGCCTTGCGGTGCGTTGCAGGCGATCACACCAGAGTCTCCTTCTCGGTCCCCTCGGCCCTTCCTAAAACCTGCTGGCTCAGGTCCGAACAATCGTAGCTGGACAGGTGGTGCACAACGATGTTAATTTTAATCCTATCTTTTTTATCAGGGTATCCATCAGTTCCCCAGTACTTGTGGGCTGGGGAGTTGGCCAAACTGAGTGAAAACTTGAAATGTCTTTTTGTTCCTTTCCGTTCTGCCAGTTTAAGTTCCATGCAATCTTTAAGCTAGAAGGCTAATAATACAATTCTCTGCTTGCCCTTTTCAAAGGCACTTCGGCTTATAAACTCCATATCAGACATCCAAGCCCAGAAGACGCCACAGGCTTACAGGTACAGTCAGCGGACCCAGCCTGGGCTGGATCTCCCCTTGCAAGGCCCCCAGGTAACACCCGCGCGCTAGCGCCGGGCCCCGGAGATCACGTCCGGTGCGTTGGGAGGCGGAGCCACGGGTTCTGACGTCACGTGGCCGCGCCCCTGCCGCCCAGTTATCTCCCGCGCCGCCCGCCATTTTGATTTCAGTGTCTCGTTTGCGGTCGGCAGCGTTGGGGGAACTGACTTGTTCCGCAGGCGCGAGGCTGGGTACAGGGTCTATTGTCTGTGTTTGACTCCGTACTTGGGTCTGAGGCCTTCGGGAGCTTTCCCGGGGCAGTTAGCAGAAGCCGCAGCGGCCGCCCCGGCCCGGGGGGAGGACCAACCCCTAGTCACGCCCCTCAGCGCTCGCCACTCTCTTCTCTGTCGTTGGGTCCGCATCGTATTCCCGGAATCAGACGGTGCCCCATAGATGGCCAGCTTTCCCCCGAGGGTCAACGAGAAAGAGATCGGTGAGGATTGGGACCGTGGGTGGGCGCGTGAGGGCCGGGGAAAGGCAGGGACTCCTCGGAGGAGGTTTAGGAGGAAGCGACTCCGAGGCGCGCCAGGGCCAGCCCAAGAGCGAGGAGGAGGAAGCCGCCTCGATAGGAGTTGGTGGGGGGGGTGGGAGGGGGCGGGTAAACGCCACCGACGTGGATGCAGCACCTACTGTGCTCCCTCGCGGTTACTGTGTGGCTGGGGCGGGCACGGACCCCGGTTTCTTCGTCGGAGGTCTGCGCAGGGCTCTTGTCCTGGGAGTTCCTGGCTCAGGACTTGACTGTCGAGTGGACAGGGAAGGGCCACTCAGGGGCTTTAGGTTTACAATGGGGAAAAGTAAACTTGTGGATTCCGAGCGGTAACGAAAGGAGGGGGTCCTCGTGTGTGCCAACCACACTTAGATGAGAAATGAGACGGAAGAGGTCCCAATAGCCTGGCAAAAGTAATGCGGTATTTTAAAAAATGTTGTGGCGTTAAGAAACGCAGCGGTTCGGGGGAGGAGACTCTTTCAGAATTATCTTTCAAACACATAAGGGAGGAGCTGGGCGGTTGGGTGGAGTGACCGAAGGAAAGCTTTTGTGCGGAAGAGGAAACTCTGGAAAGGCTTTTCTGGCTTAGTGTGTACCCCTGGCCGGCCGAGTAAAGGGCAATTAGTGTTGAAGGTTGTGCGTCCACACCTACTTAGTGGTTAAATAATGCGCGTCGCATTATTTAAATCCTCTTTTAAAGTAAAATAACTGGAACAACGTTTGATGGTGTTGGGGGTGCTGTACATTGGCTGACACACTCAGCAAACACTGATCTTACTGTGTTAAGTAATAATTAGCTGTGGCCACTGAGCAGAGAGCATTTACATTTTCTTGAAGTGAATGTGTGCCTTTACTAAGTACAAGGAGGAGTTATTTCTAGAGAAGGAAAGAGGCTGAAGTAGCCAAAACGCCCACTCTTTTCTATGTGGGTGAATTTTTATATCTAGAAACAGCTGTTTTAGAATTCTGGACTTTTGTTGTCTTAGGGATGATTGATTAGGAAGGGACTTTAACCCTGGTTTTAATAACCATTTTTAAAGATACAAACACAGAAAAAAAGGAAAAAAATTGCAGCAGAGTTCACACAGAAAAAAGAAAAAAAAAGATGCAAAGAACACAAAATTTGTGTCCAGTTATTATTTTAAGTGATTTTAAGACTAGAAAGTATATCGCGAAGTGGGACAAAGAACTCAAAAGTTCTTATCAGTTCAGTGGGTTTTTCTTTTACTTACTTCACTACACCATAATGTTATAGACGAGTAATCTGCCTTTTTTTTTAATCTGTATTTTACTTTCATCGTGATAAACCATTTTGAAAACTTTCTGGTCGTGTTTTTTGTTTGTTTGTTTGTTTGTTTTTTCTTTTGAGACGGAGTTTTTGCTCTTGTTGCCGAGGCTGGAGTGCACCATCTTGGCTCACTGCAACCTCCGCCTCCCAGGTTCAAGCGATTCTCCTGCCTCAGCCTCCCGAGTAGCTGGGATTACAGGCATCGCCTCCACACCCGGCTAATTTTTGTGTTTTTAGTAGAGATGGGGTTTCTCCATGTTGGTCAGGCTGGTCTCGAACTCCCGACCTCAGGTGATCCGCCCGCCTCTGCCTCCCAAAGTGCTAGGATTAGAGACTTGAGCCCACCGCGCCCGGATTTCCGGTTCTGTTTTCTAAGAGATGGATAGCATACCTACATAAAGTAGAACCATCCACTAAGTGTTCCCCCGCCAGCCCCTGGTTTTCTTTTCTTTTCTTTTTTCTTTCTTTTTTTTTTTTTCGTATTTAAGTCTCAGTGTTATTTCCTGGATATGATATAAAAAGTTACTAGTACAAGGTTAAACATTTCTCCTGTGTAGCTTTTTAAATCTATGATTAAGGATTTACGTTTTTTCTTTTCTTGGGTGTTAATTAAAAGCCAAGCCAAGTTTAATTACTCGAGGACATACAGAGAGTAGAGGTAAGATTCCATGAATGATCAAATAATTCTGTATAATGCTACTGCCCTCTTTCGCAAGGCACAGCCATAGATTGTCCCTTTCTGGTTATGCAATTTTGGGGAGGAATGTAAAGAAGGAGCTAAATCTGATTTGCTTGGTTCAGCAGTGACTCAGATGATATGTTATTATTTTACAGATATTAATAATGTAGTGTTGTATCTTATGGCTGATTTCCCGTGGCAGGCAGCCTTTCCCTTAACAAGGTCATTAAATCATACATTTCTGTAGCTAACATTAAACAGTTACAGATAATGTAATAAAGGTTTAACTTAAAAATTTTTTTTCAAAGCACTTTATTACAAACTTTGTGCTACGTTTATAAAATTGTGCCAGTATTTAAATTGAGCGCTTAAAACGTTTTATTAAAGTGCCAAAGGCAATTTGATATACCTGTTATCCAGCAAAGAAACACAATCAAGACAATTATTAGTAATTTTTAACAGATTAATGCATTTATTTGGCAGGTTTTATGATGGCTCTATTTCTTGAGTTTGTATATATTTGAGAATTATGTTATAAATATGTTATTATTTCATTGTCTCTGCTATCCGAACCAATTTTTTAGTAATTGTTACCGCTCTTTTGCTTTTTTTTTTTTTTCCTTTTGAGACTGAATCTCACTCTGTCGTCCAGGCTGGAGTGCAGTAGTGCAATCTCAGCTTACTGCAACCTCCACCTCTCAGGATCAAGTGATTTTCCTGCCTTACCCTCCCAAGTAGCTGGGATTACAGGTTCATGCCACCACACCCGGCTTATTTTTTGTATTTTTAGTACAGATGGGGGAAGGGGGGTTTCACCGTGTTGGCCAAGCTGGTCTGAAACTCCTGACCTCAGGTGATCCACCCTCCTCGGCCTCCCAAAGTGCTGGGATTACAGGCGTGAGCCCCTGCCTCCGGCCTACTCTTTTTTTTTTTTTTTTTTTTGAGACAGAGTCTTGCTCTGTCACCCAAGCTGGAGTGTGGTGGTGAAATCTTGGCTCTCTGCAACCTCTGCCTCCTGGGCTCAAGCAGTTCTGCCACCTCAGCCTGGGACTACAGGTGCATGCCATCACACTTGTTAATTTTTAAAATTTTTTGTAGAGACGAGGTACTCTATATATCCTAGGCTGGTCTCAAACTCATGGGCTCAAGTGATCCATTCACCTTGGCCTACCAGAGTGTTGGGATTACCAGTATGCCTGTCCTATTACCACTGTACACAAGGCGTTCCATGATTGTGGTCAAGGTAGAAGAAAAATATAGAGTAACCTTAAAATACAATCTACACCAGGCACGGTGGCTCATGCCTGTAATCCCAGCACTTTGGGAGGCTGAGGCGGGCAGATTACCTGAGGTCAGGAGTTCAAGACCAGCCTGGCCAACATGGTGAAACTCCATCTCTACCAAAATATACAAAAATTAGCTGGGCGTGGTGGTGGGCACCATGATGGTACATACGTATGATCTCAGCTACTCGGGAGGCTGAGGCAGGGAGAATTGCTTGAATCCAGGAGGCGGAGGTTGCAGTGAGCAGAGATCATGCCACTGCACTCCAGCCTGGGCAACAGAGCAAGCCTCTGTCTCAAAAAAAAAAAAAAAACAAACAAAATCTTGTATGAGAAATTTAGTCTCTCTTATGCTTGCTAAGGGAGAGCTTAATTTTAGTCTCATTTACTAGATGTTCTTGAAATTGAATGCAAGGGCTGTTCCTCATCGTATACAAGTTACATAAATATTCTCTGTAGAGACTTTTAAGTTGAATTTTAAACTTGCTTCCCTTATATGTGAACTTAGCATTTTTTTTTCCCTCCTAAAATTTATGAGTTTTAAAAGATAGATGTGGTTAAACAGGAATCCAAGTTAAAAAAAAATATGCCTGATGCAGTGACTCATGCCTTAATCTCCCCACTTTGGGAAACCAAGACGAGAGGATCGCTTGAGGCCAGAAGCTGGAGACCAGCCTGGGCAACATAGCAAGACCCTATCTATAAAAAATTAGTTTTTTGCCGGGTGCGGTGGCTCATACCTGTAATCCGAGCAGTTTGGCAGGCTGAGGCAGGTGGATCACGAGATCAGTAGTTCAAGACCAGCCTGACCAACATGATGAAACCCTGTCTCTACTAAAAATACAAAAAATAATAATAACAATTAGGGTGTGGTGGTGCATGCCTGTAATCCCAGCTACTTGGGAGGCTGAGGCAGGAGAATTGCTTGAACCCAGGAGGTGAAGGTTACAGTAAGCCAAGATCAAGCCGCTGTACTCCATCCTGGGTGACAGAGCAAGACTCTGTCTTAAAAAAAAGGAAAAAAAGTTTGTTTTTGTTTTTTTAAGTTAGCCAAGTGTGGGGGCATGTGCCCGTAGTCCCTACTATAGCTACTCAGAAGGTTGAGGCAGGAGGATCATTTAAGCCTACGAGTTTGCCTCTGCACTCCAGCCTTGGCAACAGAGCAAGACCCTGTCTAAAAAAATTAGGCAGGCAGGGGTTGCAAATTCAGAGGCCAGGCATATAAAGAACCCTGGTAAAAGGAACAAATAAGGCTGTGGGTTTGGAAAAATATAAGGAAACCTGAGCAGCATGCTGTTTCTGAAATCATTTGTATGTTAAAAGTATCTGCAGGCATTTGAGGGTCACTAAGTTTGTGAATTTTGTATTAAGAAAGTTATGTGACTCACACCTGTAATCCCAGTACTTTGGGAGGCTGAAGGTGGGAAGATCTCTTGAGCCCAGGAGTTTGAGACAGCCTGGGCAACAAATGGAGAACCTACCTCTACAAAAATAAAAACATTAACTGGGTGTGGTGGTGCATGTCTGTGGACCCAGCTGCTTGGGAGGCCGAGGCAGGAGGATCGCCTGAGCCTGGGAGGTCGAGGCTACAGTGCCCCGTTATTGTGCTACTGCACTCCAGCCTGGGTGACAGAGTGAGACCCTGACTCAAGAAAACAGAAAGTTATATGACTGCCAGTAAAGTTAATGTCATCTTAAGCTGTGCTAATACGGGGTGGGCGGGTGGGTGAGGGACTCTGCAGCTTTGATTAAACCACACCTGAAGTATTGTGGTTAGTTCTGGGTGCCACTTTGATGAGGGCCACTACTAACTAGAATTTATCCAGAAAGGTATGATGAAGTTAGGATGGGAAATGGACTTGAAACCATGTGATCTAAGGTATGATTGGAAGGATAGAGATCTTTTAGCCTGGTAAAAAGATTTCATTCATGGCTATCTTCAATATATAAATGTTATGAGGATAGCAGTAGGCTTATTCTCTTAGGTCAGAATCAGTACTGAGTGGGTAGAGTGGTAGGAGGAAGACTTTGAGTCATTAAAAGCTGTCTCAGTTGCACCAAAATAGTGTAAGCCTAATTATGAATATCATAAAAACCACACCTATTTGTTAAGGTGTCGAGAGTTGGGCAGATAACATATTTAAATCACTGTAGAATGGGAGCATAAATGTGTGCTTTCATATTCATTCAATAAATATTTACTGAGCACCTGTCATATGCCAGGTGCTATACTAGCTATTGTCGGAGCATACATTCAAACTGAACAAGTACGTTTTGGGGGGGGGGGTGTGTGTGTATGTGTATGTATGTATGTGTCCATGTCCAGGTTCTCTAACTATAGCAGTGTAAGTGGTTCTTACATGAACAGCAATACATAGACTATATTAAAGGTTAGGTGTTGGAAAGTTTAAACCAGAAATACATAAAAATATATTATTATACACTGTGCAATTGACCAGACAACTGACCACAAAATAGATAATAGGGAAAATTAAGACCAACCCAAAATAGGTAAGCCCGTAATCCCAGCACTTTGGGAGGCCGAGACGGGCGGATCACGAGGTCGGGAGATCGAGACCATCCTGGCTAACACGGTGAAACCCCGTCTCTGCTGAAAATACGAAAAACCAGCCGGGCGAGGTGGCGGGCGCCTGTAGTCCCAGCTACTCGGGAGGCTGAGGCAGGAGAATGGCATAAACCCGGGAGGCGGAGCTTGCAGTGAGCTGAGATCCGGTCACTGCACTGCAGCCTGGGCGACAGAGCGAGACTCCGTCTCAAAAAAAAAAACAACAACAACAACAAAAAAAAAAGCTCCTTTCCCCAAATTGAGGAAATTCTAACTGAGTTTGCATGCATACATTGCAGTATGAGCTTGTTGATCATGCTTGTTAAATATGGAAGTAGTATTCTCCATATACTCTGGTAATATGCCAATTTTTGTTAGGAATACAAAATTTTAGTAATCTGAATTTAAAATTGTCCATTTTTTGTCCTTAAAAAACAAAATACTTCCATTTTTGAGTCAGTGTAAGGCCCATTAGGAAGACTCTTAAGGACCACTATTTAAGAATCACAAATATAATGCATTTTGGTTTTATTTCTTTTTTTTTCTTTTTTCTTTTTTTTTAATGACAGAGTCTTCCTTTGTCACCCAGTCTGGAGTGCAGTGATGCAGTCTTGGCTCACTGCAATCTCCACCTCCAAGGTTCAAGCAGTTCTTATGCCTCAGCCTTCCAAGAAGCTGGTATTACATGCATGCTCCAGCATACCACCATGCCCAGCTATAATGCATTTTCTTTTATTTTAGCTTTTTTCTTTTTGAGACGGAGTCTCACTCCACCCAGGCTGGAGTACAGTGACACTTTCTTGGCTTATTGCAACCTCCGCCTCCTGGGTTCAGGCAATTCTCTTACCTCATCCTGGGATTACAGGTGCCCACCACCACGCCCAGCTGATTTTTGTATTTTTAGTGGAGACGGGGTTTCACCGTGTTGACCAGGCTGGTCTCGAACTCCAGACCTCAAGTGATCCACCTGTCTCAGCCTCCCAAAATGTTGGGATTACAGGTGTAAGCAACTACACCCGGCCTATAATGCATTTCTAAAGCACTGGTTGGACTAGACAACCTTTAAGTCTCTTCTAGTTCTGAGGGTTTTGTGATTTTTATGACCTGGGCCTGAAAAGGATACAAATATTTGTTTGGATAGCATATTTTATAGTGCTTTCCTTTGAGTAATGGTGTAATATTGTATTTTATAGTGAGGTATAGTTTTTGAAAGCTAAGAAATTTAATTTGGAAGATACTTTTCTTGCCAACTAAGTTTAATTTCTTGCATTTTAAATGTTAATAATTTGATGAGAACATAATACAATGCAAAAGTTAGGACTTTTATAATTGTTAAGTCTAATTGGTCATCACATTATTATTACTTGACCAGTTTTTTTACTGAAACTTTCTTAAAAACTCTTGTATTGGGAAATTTTAGGGAAATCACTTTATCAAAACTTGGAGATAGTCATTATCATTAAGGAGTCTTCATATACTGCATACCCCCGGTTAGAGGATGGAATGCAGAACTCATTATACTTTGCATAGAAGAGGGAAGAAACTCAATCCCAAAGTAATATGGAGGCAGTCTCACATGTATTGTTGGTTATATATGATATCAAGTATTTTTATTTTTCCTTTTAGTGAGATCACGTACTATAGGTGAACTTTTAGCTCCTGCAGCTCCTTTTGACAAGAAATGTGGTCGTGAAAATTGGACTGTTGCTTTTGCTCCAGATGGTTCATACTTTGCTTGGTCACAAGGACATCGCACAGTAAAACTTGTTCCGTGGTCCCAGTGCCTTCAGAACTTGTAAGACTTTTTCTTTTCTGTATTTTGTATCTGTTTGTGGAATTTACTATTTTCTCTCAGTGTAGGGTAATAACATTTTGATATTTAAGTTTTACTTTATAGATGGTGTTGTGAGTTTTAGTCATGGGCTGAATATATTTATTGGAAATTTTGTGTAAAGAATTCTTTGGGCCAGGCGCAGTGGCTCAGGCCGGTAATCCCAGCACTTTGGGAGGCCAACGCAGGCAGATCACTTGAGGTCGGGAGTTTGAGACCAGCCTGGCCAATATGGTGAAACCCCATCTCTACTGAAAATACAAAGACTAGCTGGGCATGGTGTGGCACACCTGTAGTCCCAGCTACTCAGGAGGCTGAGGCAGAAGAATTGCTTGAACCCAGGAGTCGGAGGTTGCAGTGAGTCGAGATAGCACCACTGCATTCCAGCCTGGGTGACAGAGCCAAACTCTGTCTCAAAAGAAAAAAAGAATTGTCTGATCTTATTTATACATTAAGTTTTTCTGTACATTAAAGTCAGATTGTGTCTAACAAATGCATATATATAGTGTTGTGCCAGAGCAGGTGACTTCTGTGATGTGAAGCTTTTTGGATTCACTTGGATTTTATAACATGTTGTTGGATAACTCTGATGCATAGTAGTAGAGACAGGGGTTTTACCATTTTGGCCAGGCTGGTCTCGAACTCCTGACTTCAGGTGATCCACCCTCCTCAGCCTCCCAAAGTGCTAGGATTACAGGCGTGAGCCACTGAGCCTGGGCTTTTGTTGTTGTTGTTTTTGTTTTTAATGGACTTATGGTCCCTCTGCTTGGGGTAAATTGAGTTTGGATGTTTGTTGAATGTTTTTCTAAAATGTATAATATGCTATATTGGATCTTTCCCTGTTTTTTTTGTATCTAGTAGACCTTCATGGTTATAGTCACTAATGTTCTCATTATGTATTACTTGAGGTCTAGAACCTATGGGAAACTGGTCATGGTTTGAGGATTTTTTTTTTCTCCCTTAAGGCAATTTTCTGATATCAGCTTGACCATATCTTACGTTACTGGGGTTTTTTTGTTTGGTTGGTTGGTTTTTGCTTATTTATATTTGTGTTTTTAGGTTGAAGGGAGCACCAGTTGATACGGTGGTTTTTAGGAAATTTTGGGAGGCAAATAAGTTATAATATAAATTGCTTTATTGTTGAACTTACTACTCAGTCACTGAGAATTTCTATTAATGACCTGAATTTATTCGGTCCTTCTCTCGTAGTTCAAATATCAACCTTTCCCTTCCTATCTATAGGATTCTATTGTTATTTGGTGTCATTATAATAACATTGAGGTTATTTTAACAAACGGTTGTAATTATTCAATGTCCAGAGGAGTCCAGAGTGAATAATAATACAATTTCCATCTGACTTCCCCCACCCCAGTCTCTTGCATGGCACCAAGAATGTTACCAATTCAAGCAGTTTAAGATTGCCAAGACAAAATAGTGATGGTGGTCAGAAAAATAAGCCTCGTGAACATATTATAGACTGTGGAGATATAGTCTGGAGTCTTGCTTTTGGGTCGTCAGTTCCAGAAAAACAGAGTCGCTGTGTAAATATAGAATGGCATCGCTTCAGATTTGGACAAGATCAGCTACTTCTTGCTACAGGGTTGAACAATGGGCGTATCAAAATATGGGATGTATATACAGGTATGGATTCATAGTTTTTAAAGCAAATGTATTATTTTGTTTTGCAGGGCACTACTCATAGGCACTGGAATTAGGATTTGAGGATTTCAGCTTACTGAAAAGCAAGAATTGATGGCATAAGTGTGTCTTTATAATTGACCTGAATATCACCTTCTTCAGCTCATCATTTTAATTTAGGAAAATGATAGAGTTCATATTGCTTCATCACTCTTTAGAGAGTAGTATAGTAGGAAAGGCTTTTCTAGGGAATGTTTAATTAGTTGTCCTTTATAACCTAGTTACTTAGTTAATGACTCACATGTCAAGGTGTTTTCTTTGTACTTTTTCAATGATTAATAGCTTAGAGGTTTTCAAGGTAAATCAAATTTCAACAATCATTATCTCAACTTGGAAAGGTTTAGTGAAAGTTTAGATAGGTTGAGAAGTTAAATTCTTTGGGCAACTAAAAATCAATGTGTTGCTTATTGCCTAAAACACTTTCTGGCATATAATGTTACTCAAAAATGTAAAGGATTTTTAAAGAAGCATTAAAACAACATGTACATTAGAACATAACAAGTGATACTAACATAGGTGATAATGAGTCAAAATCTGGGTTCTTGAAAAAAGTAAGATGAACACATAGATTTTCTTAGAAAACAAAGCTCTTCCAGTATTATTTAAATACATTTTTTTCACTGGGATCATGTTAGAAAACTAAAGTTGTTGTGGGATAACATGTATCTTTTGGGGAGCTTAACTTTCCTAGGCCAAGGAAATAACAAGCAAAGAAATAATTTGATTTTATATTTTAAAGTTCATACCTGTCATTCCAGCACTTTGGGAGGCCAAAACTGGGGGATCACTTGAGCCCAGGAGTTCTAGACCAGCCTGGGCAACATGGTGAGACTCCATCACTACAAAAAAAAAAAAAAAAAAAAGCGAGCCATGGTGACTTGTAACTATAGTTCCAACTATTTCGGAGGCTGAGGTAGGGGAATTGCTTGAACCTAGGAGGTTGAGGCTGTAGTGAGCCAAGATTGTGCCATTGCACTCCAGCCTGAATGACAGAGTGAGACCCTGTCTCAAGAAAAATAAGAACAAAACAAAAACATATTAATACTGTCTTTTTTCTCCCTTTTCTATCATATTTAGGAAAACTCCTCCTTAACTTGGTAGATCATACTGAAGTGGTCAGAGATTTAACTTTTGCTCCAGATGGAAGCTTGATCCTGGTGTCAGCTTCAAGAGACAAAACTCTCAGAGTGTGGGACCTGAAAGATGATGGTATGTCTTTTTTTCCAAGCTATGAACTAGGCTTCGTTTCTTGATATTACTATTGAGAGGTATTGGGAACATTTGGGGCATTTGACTTTAAAAATGGCATGTGATCAAAGTTCCTTTTCTCTGCCTAACATTTTGGCTCCTTTCCTGAATAGATCAAAGAAAAACATAAACGTGACCCAGAATAGGAGCCAACAGTTATTCGAAGTAAATGATCTGATATTATTCAGAAACTCATAGATCTGTATCAACTATCTGAGGACCAAATATGGATCAGATTTAGGGTTTTATGGACCCAGTCTGTTTATGTCCCCTTAGGGAGGGTTATTAACTTATTGCATTGGCTTAGGGAAAATTTAGGTAGATCTTGAAGTAACTTAGTATCTAATAAAATTTTAATTAAAACATGACCTACATGCCAGAATTTATAATATGTAAATATTAGTAAGCATTATAATAAATTGGCTAGGTTAAGAAATACTTTTATAAAAAGTGAAAGATTTACTGTCCAATACAATAGAAAGATATGTTGGTGTCAAGTACTCACCTTTCTCTAAGCCTTACAAAGTTTTGGAGATGCTACCTCATTTGAGATGAGCATCTCTTCCCCTTTCTTAGTCCCTAATGAAAGAGTTTATATGTTTAGCTAAAACCTTAAATTTAAGGTCTGTTGGTGCTCTAACAGCCTCAAGCTAAAGGTTAACAGGCTTGCCTAGGGGTAATAAAGCTTTAATTGAATTAGTAGGAAATAAAACCCTCAGATCTGGAAATGTTCCAGCTGATAAATAGTAACCATTCCTTAATAAAGTACTATGCTAACATTAACAAGTCATGAAGGACCTTCTCTGCGTTTTATCTGCTCAGCCGTTGAGGTGCAAAGGGATCCCAACAATTGAAATATTTTAATAATTTTTATTTTCTTTTGCATATTGAATGATGCTTGCTTATCTCAAACTAATTTCAGCAATGTACATGTTTTAAGAACATAGGCTTAGTAAAATATAAGCTCCAAGATAGTGGGGTCCTTGCCTTATTTCCAGCTATATCCTCAGTGCCGGCATAGGCCTGGCATGCATAGGCACTCAGTAAGTTTTTGTAAAACTAAGAGTTCAGTATACTTAAGCATAGCTGTGTGCTGTGGGCATAAAACACAAGGACTTTGGAGTGGGTTGTAGGTTTTCAAAAAGGAAGAATGAAAAGGCATTTTGAAGATGGTCAAGTTTCTTAACTTTTAAAATAAGGGGATTGAACTAAAAATTTGGTCTTCTGTAGATGGGGTGGGGCTAGGGTGTCCCAGACTTTTTCTGTCACTTAGGCTGGAGTTCTGTGGTGCCATCTCAGCTCACTGCAGCCTCTGCCTCCCAGGTTCAAGTAATTCTTGTGCCTCAGCTTCCCAAGTAGCTAGGATTACCGGCATGCACCACCATGCCTGGCTAATTTTTTAAATGTTTTTTTTAGTAGAGATGAGTTTTCACCCTGTTGGCCAGACTAGTCTCGAACTCCTGGCCTCAAGCAATCCACCCACCTCAGCCTCCCAAAGTGTTGGAATTACAGACAAGAGCCATCGCGCCAGGCCCCAGACTTCTTCTTGAAGTGCTAGATGTTAAATATTTGAGGCTTGTGAACCATGCTGTCTGCTGTAGAGCACAACGTAAACACATGGACAGGATTGTGTTCCAGTAAAATTTAAAATAAGCAGCTGGTGTATGTCAGTAACCCTTGTTACAGATAAATTACTTTCAGCTATAAATGTTTGTGATCCTTTGAATTACTACTGTTTTGAAATACTGCTCATTTGAAGTGGATTCTAGGGTTAATACAGATTGTTTCTTTTGTTCAGGAAACATGATGAAAGTATTGAGGGGGCATCAGAATTGGGTGTACAGCTGTGCATTCTCTCCTGACTCTTCTATGCTGTGTTCAGTCGGAGCCAGTAAAGCAGTATGTGTCAAAGTTCTTGTACATTAACTGTGAATTGGATTATGATAATGTGTGCATAATCATTTTAAATCTAAGTAACCTATGAAGTTTGTGCTCGGTGTCATGAATATTTTAAATGTTTTATTTTATGATGGGGGAGAATTTGCATGAAGGAAATTAAATATAGTTATTGATTGCCAAGTGAGAAGTTGGATTGTTTTTAGAGATAATAGAAAATGAGGGGCATATTAGGGTTTTCTTTTTTGTTTGTTTGGTTTTGTTTTTTTTTTTGTAAGTCTAGAAAAGTTTATGTGCTGTAGAAGAGATCTAGTCTATATGTTAAGACATTCCCTTGCTAATTATTTTCTTCTCTGTTGTTCTATTTTTTTGGTCCAGTTTGCTGTTTTTAAAGTTTTGAGTCCCAGCTGGTCCTGTACATTTAACTGAAAAAAAGTAACTTAAAATAATATAAAAATAGCACTCATGTATGTCCTAGAGTTAAGTTATAGGTGAAATTTGTACTGTTTGTCTTATATAGCATACCTATAGACAGCTTAAGTAAAGTGACTGTTAAGAGGGTTGTGCTTATTGATGAACTCTTTTAGTTGTTTACCATTTCTAAGTTAGTGTAGTTAAATTGATCTCAGTAGCTAAAAATATTTATAAAATGGTTGAAGTCCAAATACATGTGATAATTACAATACACTTTGAATTAATGGGGGGTGGGAGACTAGTTGAAGTACATTTTATTTACCCAAGGAGTATGTTAAAATGATAGTTATAAATGTTGGAAGTTTAAAACAAGATACTCAGTTTAGTTCTTTACAAATCATAAGAAGAACAAAATTAGATGTTGACATTGCTATTTTAGGCTGTGTGTTTTCCATATGCTTCTTGCTTTCCCTGTCACAGGTGGTGGCAGCAATATTGGTGTGATTGAGGTTATGCTGGCACCACTCGCACACAGGCGCACAATGGTGTTAGCTGGGCAGAAAGAGTGGCATCTCTGGCTACCGGGCTGGGGGCGACCTTTACCATAGGATGAAGTAACCTTGCATTCGGCTGCAAGGTGTACTGTACGTACACAGGTGCTGGTCGATGTCCACTTTCTGCTTTTCTTTCTTTCTTTTTTCTTTTTTAAAGTAATTTTCCCCACAGTAAAATTCACTGACTCCTGAGTAAATTGATTTTCCAGTTTTATGGATTTGGGAGTCTGACAAGTGAAACCAATTTAATATAAAGTGTTTGGCTTTCAAATGGTTTCTCCGTGCTGTTTTTTGGAATTCTTTAAAATTCCAGAGATACCTTACATCTTTGATTCATTTTAAAATTTGTACTTATTTTCTTTTAGAAATAATGTATTATGTCTGTGCAGAAAAAAAAAAAAAAAGCAAAAAGGATTGCTTTACTCCAAGAGGAGAGATTGTCTTATTAGGATAAACCTCCAAGCTCACATTTAATATAACAGACTGAAGTAAACATTAGAATCCTATTTAGAGCTATTCTGCACAGTTAACTACTGATCTTTAGAATCTAAAATTGTATGTGAACTTATTCTTAAATAATTGAACCGTTTTATGCTTCAAATGACTTATGATTGTGGTCAGTTTGGGAAAAATAAGATGGTTAAATTTTGATTTATTGAAATGTAATTGTATTATTTTCATAAAATAGCATTTTCATTTTGTAATGTGGTTTAACATCCTTGTTGTTTGCCAAAGAAATTTCATTTGGCTGTGAATATTCTATTTGCTTGCAGTATCTGTTTCTCTTCCTAGGCTCAAGTTGGTGACCCAAGCCTATTGTAAACAAGTGATTATCTCAAAGGGAGATGCCAATGGAGTAACAATTTGTTAACCTTACGTTTTCTGTCTGTATATTTTTTTAAAAATCTGGTAGTTTCTGGAAAAAAAGAGAAGGGGGTTTGTAGTACTTAACCCTATTTATTTCCGTATATTTTAGTTAATTAGTTTTTGGAATAAATGGATTTCAGTATAGCTTTGTGGTTAAATTGCATTGCCTTTATTTTATGTTTAGGCTTATTTTTAAATTAACATTTAACAGAAACATTTGAAATAGAATTTGCATGTCTGCCTTAATTAACTTAAAGACTGATTTTAATCTGACTATGACACTGAGCGTATTCTTTAAATTACTCATAATTTATAATGCTTAATATAATCTTAATTAAATTTAGCAGTTTTAGTTTAAGATGTGCCATTTTGTCCTCTGTGTGTCTGAATGAAGCTATAACATTTGCCTTTTTATTGCAGGTTTTCCTTTGGAATATGGATAAATACACCATGATACGGAAACTAGAAGGACATCACCATGATGTGGTAGCTTGTGACTTTTCTCCTGATGGAGCATTACTGGCTACTGCATCTTACGATACTCGAGTATATATCTGGGATCCACATAATGGAGACATTCTAATGGAATTTGGGTGGGTACAACATGAATTATTTTAGTCTATAATTCATCTCTGCTTATCAAGTTATGTGAATAATTTAATTAGAATCACCAACATATGAAACCTAAAATTACAGATTATTGTAATTTAAAATGTTGGCATTATTTAAGCCCTTGACTAATGGAAAGCGTTAGACATAAATTCTGAAAGTAAATTTGGCTGTCTTGATACAAGTCTTGCTGCTTAACAGTACCCAGCTATCTATAGAAGTACTAATTATGTTTAGAGTTTTTGTTGGAGAAAAACAGTTAAAACCAAAGTTGGACTTAATCTTACTATCCTAAATCATAAAATATATATATATATATATATATATATATATTTTTTTTTTTTTTTTTTTGAGACAGAGTCTTGCTCTGTCGCCGGGCTAGAGTGCAGTGGCGCGATCTCGGCTCACTGCAACCTCCACCTCCTGGGTTCAAGCAGTTCTCCTGCCTCAGCCTCCTGAGTAGCTGGGACTACAGGCGCGTGCCACCACACCTAGCTAATTTTTGTATTTTTAGTAGAGACAGTTTCACCATGTTGGCCAGGATGGTCTCAATCTCTTGAACTCGTGATCCACCTGCCTCGGCCTCCCAAAGTGTTGGGATTACAGGCGTGAGCCACTGTCCCCGGCCATAAAATATTAATTCTTTTCAGGTGACTTTTAATTTGGATGTATCATTTCTACTCAATCTTCTCAGTTATATTAACTAAGGCTACTTTAAACACTATTCAAAGACAGATGTACTTTGTACCTGGGTAATTTTGTTTTCTTGAAGTGACTGATATCCACTAAAAACATGTATTTGACCTCAGGCACCTGTTTCCCCCACCTACTCCAATATTTGCTGGAGGAGCAAATGACCGGTGGGTACGATCTGTATCTTTTAGCCATGATGGACTGCATATTGCAAGCCTTGCTGATGATAAGTAAGTATGTGCATTATAGCTTGACTGACTTACCTTTACCTTTTACATTCTTAAGCCTTAAAGCCTTTCTGCAGTTAAGAGTTTTAATATCTCTTCCTCAACACGATCCCCTGGGAGATTTTGTTGTGTCTTAAAGAATATCAGCCAGAACAATTATCTGTGTAAACTAAAGATAATGCATGCCTCTCCCTGTGTTTCTTGTTTAACTTGTTTAGGCATAGTGGGTTGATTTTTAGTCAGCTTTTAGCCCAGCTTATAGAGATTTTTTAAAGTAATGTCTTAAAGGTTGAAGCAAAAGGAAATTTCTAAAGTGAAACAAATAATAAAACCAAAAGAATTACAAATAAATAATAATTTGTATCCACGATTGAGACTAGAATGTGAAAGAAATATCACATGAATGAGATGTGCTGCTTATTGGTAAGAAGCAGAAACTAGTTGCAATCATCTCATTTTCACATCCTTTTATCATTACAGTGTTCATGCATATAGCATTGAGTAGTTTGGTAACATCAATTCATAAGGCAACTCTTCTTTTTCCAGAATATTAGCAAACATATGGAGAGAGGTTTTTTTTTTGTTTGTCCGCAACCATTGTTTTCCTGTTTGCTCAGATAGATTCTGCATATTAGTTCTCTGCTGTATTTGTAGACACATTCAGCCTAGGTGAAAAGCTTTTTTTCCTTTCCTGTTTTTTTTGTTTGTTTGTTTTTTGGAGACAGGGTCTTGCCTCGTTGCCCAGGCTATAGTGCAGTGGCAAATCACATCTCACCACAACCTTGATTTTCTGGGCTCAGGTGATCCTCCCACCTCAGCCTTCTGAGTAGCTTGCACCACAGGGGTACACTACCACACCTGGCTAAGTTTTTAAAAAATTTTTTGTGGAGACACAGGCTCCCGACGTCGCCCAAGCTGGTCTTAAAGTCCTGGGCTCAAGCAGTCCACGCACTTCAGCCTCCCAAAGTGTGTGGGATTATGGTTTTGAGCTACCAGGCTCACCTAGCTTTTAAAAATGTCTTGGGAAAAGGGTGAAACAGACTAGAAGTTGATTGTATTGTAAGTGTAGGAAAGTAAGGAGAAAGCTGCCAGGTGTGAACATTCTAGGTTTGAACACTGGAAAGGAGGAAAGGCAACCATGCATTGTAGTCTCTTAAGTGAAAGTTTATCCAGTTTACCAACTGGTATTATAGACCTTAAAATATTTTATAATTGTATAAATCAAGTTACAATAATTGCCTGTTGGTGTGATTTGTGTATTTTGTGACTCATAACTCAATGGTGTTTCTTTCTAAATTTTAAAAAAGTTGCTTTTACCTTACATTTTCTACAAGATAACTAAATAATTTATTTTGTTTTCAGAATGGTGAGGTTCTGGAGAATTGATGAGGATTATCCAGTGCAAGTTGCACCTTTGAGCAATGGCCTTTGCTGTGCCTTCTCTACTGATGGCAGTGTTTTAGCTGCTGGGTAAATATATTTTTCTCTTTTTTTTTTTTTTTTTTTTTTCTTGAGATGAAGTCCCCCAGGCTGGAATACAATGGTGCAATCTCTGCTCACTGTAGCCTCCGCCTCCCAGTTCAAGGAGATTCTCTTGCCTCAGCCTCCCGAGTAGCTGGGACTACAGGTGCACACCACCACTCCTGGCTAATTTATTTGTTTGTTTGTTTGTTTTTCCAGTAGAGTCGGGGTTTCACCATGTTGGCCTGGCTGGTCTCAAACTCCTGACCCTGACCTCAAGTGATCTTCCCGCCTCAGCTTCCCACAGTGCTGGGATTACAGGCTTGAGCCACCACACCTGGCCTTCTTTAAGGGGCAACTTAAGGTGGCTTTTAGCAGCTAGTAGTTTATTGTTAGTAAAATTCTAATAAGTATTCTTATATAGTAGTCTTACCTTGTTATAGAATACATCATTGGTTAGTTCTTCCTAGTTGGGTTTTAGTGTGAAGTTTGTGACTCCAGTACTCACATGTATTGGATGATAGTTGTTTGAGCTGTAGCGACATTGAAATACATATACCTGGGTGACTAACCATGTGCTTTGTTTCTGTTTAGGACACATGACGGAAGTGTGTATTTTTGGGCCACTCCACGGCAGGTCCCTAGCCTGCAACATTTATGTCGCATGTCAATCCGAAGAGTGATGCCCACCCAAGAAGTCCAGGAGCTGCCAGTTCCTTCCAAGCTTTTGGAGTTTCTCTCCTATCGTATTTAGAAGATTCTGCCTTCCCTAGTAGTAGGGACTGACAGAATACACTTAACACAAACCTCAAGCTTTACTGACTTCAATTATCTGTTTTTAAAGACATAGAAGATTTATTTAATTTGATATGTTCTTGTACTGCATTTTGATCAGTTGAGCTTTTAAAATATTATTTATAGATAATAGAAATATTTCTGAACATATCAAAAATAAACTTTTTAAAAGATTTAACTGTGAAAACATATACATACATGTATATATTTAGATATAAGCTGCTATATGTTGAGTGGACCCTTTTGCTTTTCTGATTTTTAGTTCTGACATGTATATATTGCTTCAGTAGAGCCACAATATGTATCTTTGCTGTAAAGCATAAGGAATTTTTAAATTCTGGAACACTGAGTTAGATGGTAAATATTGTCTTAAGAAAGTTGAATTGGGTGAGGTGTGGCAGCTCATGCTTATAATCCCATCAGTTTGGGAGGCTGAGGTGGGCAGATCACCTGAGGTCAGCAGTTTGAGAGCAGCCAGGCAAACATGACGAAACTCTGTCTCTACTAAAAATACAAAAAAAAAATTGGCCAGGCGTGGTAGTGCGCACCTGTAGTCCCAGCTACTTGGGAGGCTGAGGCAGGAGAATTTGCTTGAACCCAGGAGGCGGAGGTTGCAGTGAGCCAAGATCACACACTGCACTCCAGCCTGGGCAACAGAGCGAGACTCCATCTCAAAAAAAAAATAGTTGTGTTGCCTCATACAAAATGTATTTGGTTTTGTTGGAGAGTGTCAGACTGACCTGGAAGTGAAACACAGTTTATATACAGGGAAAGGATTTTATTATCCTTAGGAGTGTCATCCAAGACATAGAGCTTGAATGTGACATTATTTAAAAATAACAACAAAGAAGGCAGAGCCAGGATATAACTAGAAAAAGGATGTCTTTTTTATTACTCCCCCTCTAAACACTGCTGCTGCCTTAATTTTAGAAAGCAGCTTACTAGTTTACCCTTGTGAAGTATTATAAATTGTTGTGAATTTGAAAAGTCCATCTACTGTATTATTGCTAAATATGTTGTTTGTACTGAGGGACAATTATTTTAAGACCATGGATTAAAAAAAAAAAAACACTCTATGTTTCTGCAGGGGATGATATTGGTGAGTTGCCAAAGAAGCAATACAGTATATCTGCTTTTGCCTTCTGTTATCTTACCTGCAGATATTAAGAATGTATGCATTATGTAAAATGCTCAATTATATATTTTTGTTGAGTTTTTTAATTAAAGACTTGTAAAACAGTATATTGCAAATGTTTCTTAAATAGGTTAGGTGGAGTACTTTCTATCTGTCTCCATTGTAAGATTGATGGTACACCATGGGCAAATCAAACAAAAAGGACAATGAAGAAAGAATGCAGGACTCAGGCGCTGCTCTAGAGTTCATTCAGGGCTCCCCGAGTGCAGCAACTCTTATGGTGGTTTTGTTTTTGGGAGAACTGTTGTGATAATGCGTATTTTAAAAGCATAGGGAAGCTCTAGAACACAGGAAAGTGACTACTAAGTAAAAGAAAAATATCTTTTAATGGGGAACTACCAGCCTATAGTAAGCCTATCTGGTTAAAGTAGTTATTATAAAAATCTAGCAGTCTGGGTCCTTTGAGAAGGCATAAAAAAAACAAAACTCTTATGAGCCATGTGTGATTTTGAAGACTCATTTCCTCTGAGAAATTATTTGGAAGTTCCTATGGTTAGCTCTGTTAAGGAATGTAAAAATTTATAGGCGGTGTAGGTTGTCAATTTGAAGGCCAGTAGAAAATCTGCTCAAGTTACTTCTTGAGGATCATCTATATTTTACAAAAAGAAGCACAAAAAGCATCTAATCTTAATACTTCTTGTGACTTTTTTCCCCCTGTATTTTACTTTGTAATATATCAGCTTTATAATTTTAAAATATACTGGCCGGGCACAGTGGCTCACACCTGTAGTCCCAGCACTTCGGGAGGCCAAGGCAGGTGGGTCAGTTAAGGCCAGGAGTTCATGACCAGCCTGACCAAATAGTGAAACCCCTGTCTCTACTAAAATTATAAAAATTAGCCAGGCATGGTGGCAGGTGCGTGTACTCCTAGCTACTTAGGAGGCTGAGGCAAGAGAATTGCTTGAACTGGAGAAATGGAGTTTGCAGTGAGCTGAGATTGTGCAACTGCACTCCAGCCTGGGTGACAGTGAGACTCTAAATAAATAAATAAATAAGATACCATTACTTTTCACACTGTTGCATTATTTTTACTTTCCACACCAACATATCCACTCAAGTTAAAAAAGTCTTTTTTTTTTTTTGAGCCTCACACTGTCACCCGGGCTGGAGTGCAAGGGTACAATCTCGGCTCACTGCCGCCTCCACCTCCTGGGTTCAAGCGATTCTCCTGCCTCAGCCTTCCAAGTAGCTGGGATTACAGGCACTCCCCACCATGCCCAGCTAATTTTTTTTTTTTTTTTTTTTTTTGTATTTTTATTAGAGATGGGGTTTCACTATGTTGGCCAGACTGGTCTCAAACTCCTGACCTTGTGATCTGCCTGCCTTGGCCTCCCAAAATGCTGGAATTACAGGTGTGAGCCACTGAACCTGGCCCAAAACAGCATTTTTGGAAGCTACATTCTCTGAGATGTTCACCTGTTTGCCACCTCTTCTCGTGAAAACCATAGTGTGCGTGCCAGTGTGAAAGGAAGATTGCACCATATATGTCAAGTAGAAACGTGTGAATTTTCCATTTGTCTGTGGGAAAGAAGGTAATAACAGTAATAATAGACTGAAGGACCAAAGAAAAATAGGGAAGACGTTGATTATGAATCAGATTCTACTTACATGATTTGAAAATGACACTGCCTCTTTCTCCTATTTTGCCACAAGCCTGACATTTGGAGAACTGGCAAGGGATCATTTATGTTCAGATTTGATTTTCTGTTTTAGAATCCCATGGGGTACATGTGAACATAGGAAAATCACACTCAGCAGCCAAGCTATCCTTTGGCAATAATGAAATCACTTTAAAACCTATAACTTGATCTTAGGTTGGCAAATCCTAAACTTAACGATCCTTGAAATTTCCTGCCTGCTGTGACTGTGATAAAGTTGGATTCAACTGGTTTGCGCTGCTCTTGGATCGGCAAGACCAAAAAAGGTTGGGCTGCACTGTAGCGTGCTTATGGGTTGAGGCAGTGGCAGAGGCAGGGGACTTGGCTGTCAGCCAGCCAGCACAGGAGTAAGAAAATAGAAAGCATGAGAAGTTTCATGAGCCAGAAACCATTGAGAGAGTGATTACAACCTCCATATTAATCAGATGAAGGTTTGTAGGTGACATAGCATTTTACCCAAGTAATTCTGAACAGACAGTGGCTTATAATACATTTTAACTAGCAAGTGTATAGACTATAAAACAAGTATCTAGAGTTATATATGGATGTACTATCATTTGGTGATAAAAGCATAGAAAAAGCATAAGTTGGAGTATACTGAGTTTTTTTTGTTGTTAAATTCTTTTCCATCAGAAGTAAGAGCTGTTGGCAGCAACTAATAAAATGCAACCTAATGACATGCTCATCATAACCTTGGCAGATGTTTATGGTAAGACGCTTGGAAGGAATGAACATGAGTAGGCAGTCTCAACCTGCCCTTTGATCCATAAAGCATTCTTTAGCCAACAGCAAAAATCTGGTCTGAGCCAGGTATAAAGTGACCTGTTTTATTACAGGTGGGTGGAGTAGTTTTGTGTGGTTGTTTTTTGACATTTTGTATGCTTGTATTTTTTACTTTGAGATAGGATCTCGCTCTGTCACCCAAGCTGGAGTGCAGTAGTACAATCTCAGCTCACTGCATCCTCTGCCTCCCCTGGTTAAAGTGGTTCTCGTGCATAAGCCACCTTGAGTAGCTGGGATTACAGGCATGAGCTGGGCCAATTTTTGTATTTTTAGTAGAGACAGGGTTTCATCATGTTGGCCAGGCTCGTCTTGAACTGGCCTCAAGTGATCTGCCCATCTTGGCCTCCCAAAGTGCTGGGATTACAGGCGTGAGCCGTGGTACCTGGCCTGTCTAGGCTTATCTTAACAGTTGAGGAATCAGAAAATAATTGAATAGGACTGGAATTGGAGAAGGAAAAATGATTTAATTCAATTTTTATCAACTCCACTATTTTCTCTATTAGAGACTACTGTCATTATCGCGGTTTCTGTTTTAGAGATAATGATAAAAATAAGGAATTTTCTCTATAGTTCCACAGAAAAGTTGGTCTTCTGGTCTGAAAGTAGTATTACAGGTTTTGTTAGGAAAACCTGTAATACAGTGTTGCCTGTCACTGTCATTATAGTGAGTGTTTGGTTTTAATAAGGATGAAGCATCAATGGCTCTTTCTGAAAAAATTGTTCTCTGAAAGTAAAGTGTGAGCTATAGATATCATCTAGAACAGGGGTGTCCAATCTTTTGGCTTCCTTGGGCTACATTGGAAGAATTGTGTTGGCCCACACATAAAATACACTAACGATAGCTGACGAGCTTTAAAAAATTACAAGAAAAGTCTTTAAGAAGGTTTATGAATTTGTGTTGGGCCACATTCAAAGCCGTCCTGGACTGCATGTGGCCCGTTGGACAAGCTTGCTCGAGTATAGATCAGTAAGTAAGAGAAGTGAAATGGCTACTCCACTATGTGGTTTTATGCTTCCAAATTGTTGAATAATAATGAAATGTTCTTATAAAAAAATAGATTAAGGATGATGGACATTAGAGAGTTAACGTGAGAAAGATAATGATTAAAATAGAGCCAAGAGGCCAGGCGCAGTGGCCCACGCCTATAGTCCCAGCACTTTGGGAGGCTGAGGCAGGTGGATCACCTGAGGTCAGGAGTTTGAGACCAGCCTGGCTAACATGGTGAAACCCCGTTTCTACTAAAAATACAAAAGATTAGCCTGGCATGGTGGCACACATCTGTAATCCCAGCTACTGAGGAGGCTGAGGCAGGAGAATCACCTGAACCTGGGAGGGGGAGGTTGCAGTGAGCCGAGATTGCACCTTTGCACTCCAGCTTAGGCAACAAGAGTGAAACTCCATCTCAAAAAAAAAAAGATTAAACAAATTATATGTATTTTTTCTTTTTTTTTTTTTTTTTTGACACACAGTCAAACTCTGTTGCCCAGACTGGAATGCAGTGGTGCAAGCTCAGCTCACCACAACCTCTGCCTCCCTGGTTCAAGAGATTCTCCTGTCTCAGCCTCCCGAGTAGCAGGGATTACAGGCCATGCCACCATGCCTGAGTAATTTATTTATTTATTTTTTTTTTGAGATTGAGTCTTGCCCTGTCACCAGGCTGGAGTGCAGTGTCGCATTCTCAGCTCACTGAAACCTCTGCCTCCTGGGTTCAAGCGATCCTCCTGCCTCAGCCTCTCAAGTAGCTGGGACTACAGATGGGTGC